TGATGACATCACTATGACATCATCGGGTTATTTATGTGACTTGAGGAAGCTCCTTACAAGCAACAGAAGACATTATACTGTAATTACACTATACATTATAACTGTTTTCGCAGGCTTAGTGCTACTAACCATGACTGGTAAACTGATGTTAATGTGTAAGACCAGTATTCAATGTTTCCCTCAGGATTGTTTTTTCAGGGCTTAAAACCTCGGTAAAAAGGTATTAGTAAAGCTTTAAAAATACTGGAACCTACCTCCTATCTCATAAATTCCCATGTCTTAAAAGCGCCCCTTGTGAGGTTTTGGTGATTGTAGTAGCCTATGGAGCAATGTTTTACTATTGAGGTGTATCCCTGTTTTGTTTGTATCATGTACACCTGCTGATAGTTTGACACTATTCCACTGATTGACAGTTGATGGCAGTAATGGACAAAGAACGGTAGCAGTGGGCCCAAAAAAAAGCAAGCTAGTAAACGATAGCCTGCAAAAAATGGATATAAATAATGCAGAATTTAAATGATAAAAAACAAATGTTTAGAGGAAGAAGATGCATTCAGCACATTATCACGGTTATTTTCTCAGGCCTCAGAGGGCTCCCTTCAGAGCCACAAAAAACACTGAACAACTGTTTTCACAAGTGGAGCAGTACACTTGTGACAACCAAACTAACCTTCATGTGTAGAATTGTTGTGTCCCTTTTTAAAGATTAGTAAATTAGTAAATAATCTCCTGAAATCAACAACAACAATTTTTATTTTTATCTATAGAAAGAGCCTTTTTTATTTACAAAGGGAGCGGGTACGGAGTCCACCATGTTGAACCGCCCAGAACAGACAAACCAAATGCTGACTCTTTTTGCGCGGAGTTTCGCCCCCACCCTAGTTCCTCTTACATGCTCAGAAAGTGAACGGTATTCAGGTGGTTGCAATTTACTTCATCACTCGATGCCACTAAACCCTACACTGGTCCTTTAAGACCAATCAGTGGTATCAGAAGTTTAAGCAGTGTAGTCGAGGTACCCAAACAGGACCTGGCATTGTAAACAACAGAATCAGTGTATGTGATGAAAAAGGGTACCTTTTAAATAAATAATAACTCAAGTATGAGATGGTAATGATTGGAACTGATACCTCTCCAGATTTCCCACAACAAGCAGCGGCCCTTAAATTTAAAAAAAAAAAATCAGATATGTGAAGGGTAAAAGTGCAGCGCTGCACTATTTGGAGCCAATTTCCAGATCATGCTCCATTGTCTGAATTATTTAGAGCCTGAGCTGCTCCATTCTCTTTTAATTGCATGTGACATTTTCTTGAGGTGTCCTTCTGCTGAGATACTCACTGCTGCTGTGGTAAACAGTAAATCTGAAATGACTGCATGAAACTGGTCCTAACCGTCTGTACTGTAGCGGCTCAACTAAACCCAGATAATTAGGTTTTCACCTCAGCCTGTTATATTGGTGGACAGCAACACTTTCCAGCTGCTGTAACAAGCAACTACTGAGACTAACAGTGATGGAATCAGCTGCTCTGCTGTGACTGAATGATATTAGACGTGACAAAGATTCTTAGCAACTGTTTCTCACAATACCTCTGGGATTTACCTGTTACTTTTAATTTATATTTATAACTCAGGAAACATGACACATTAAAATTCAGTTTTTTCTCCTCCTACTGTGTGATTGGACAGCATCAAACATTTCCCTGATTGCTGCCGCTGGAATATATGAGTAAACAGCAGGCAGAAAAGTATAAAAAGTCAAATATAAGGAGTTTCGTTTGATAAGATGTCTGCAATAACGATCCCACCCCGTCCTCATCAAAAATATAATGCAGGTAGTCGGCCAAAAGTAGCAGGGTGCTTACTCGTGCTCTGCCCCAAACAAGAAAAAATATTAAAGACAAACACAGAGCAAGCCGAGCTGCTTTAAGATGTAAGAGAAGTGCTGCCAGTATCTCTCTAAAGGACATGCTTCACACTGAGAGGCTGTGGTTTGTCTGACTGGATTTGGAGTTCTACTTGGATGCCTACTCAGCTTCCCCTGCCAGCAGATACAGAGAAAGGCATCTCACTCGGGAATCAGTCGGCCTGCCCAGAGTCCAGCTTTAAACCTGCTGTGCTGCCACTGTGACAGACAGGATGCCTCCGGCCGTGGACACACTGCTACTGCGGTCGGAATTTGTGCCTTTCAAAGTTTTAATAAGACAAGCATGATGCCATGAAATTCAGATGACAGGATTCAAGGGTGACCTGGTGGCCCAGTGGTTAAGAAACAT